CAGCCTCCAGGATACCTCTCCACTGGTTTCCTTGCAGTCACTGAGCCACCCCCTCCTCTTACTCTCCTGCAAATGATAGTGATGCCACCAATTCTGGCAAGGTCTCTACTAAAGGTGGACATATTTGCTCATAGCTTCATGCCAACGTTATGAAATGATGTGAGTTTTTGAATTTAGGTTTAAAATTACAGTGAAAGACACATTGCCGTGAGTCCTCCTCAAATTATTCTCCCTCATTTCAACACCCTTATCCCCCCATTCTTGCCACTTTCTGAAGCACTTCTAGAAGTCCTCCTTCAAGAGTATTTTAGTTAACACATTCATAGCTGCCTCAATGTCCTCAATCAATTGAAAGCATTATCTTTCATTGTCCTTTCTGACCTTGAGGAAAAGCCAGAAGTCGCATGATGACAGATTCTGTAAATAAGGTGGATGAGCACACACTGGCATGTTTTTATGAGCTTGCCTTCCCATTGGACAGCACTCAGCAGCAGCATTCACCATATTTTTAATCATACTTTAAAGACACTATCAAAGAGGACTTTCAAGAACAGCTTCAGAAGTGGTAAGAACAACGGGATAAACACGTTCAAAGCTAGGATGTGTTTTTTTTGAGGGAATTTATGGCTGTATGTCTTTTTTTTTTATTTTTTTATTTTTTTAAGGACTGGTGGTGGTGATGGTAGTGTTTTGCTTTGCTTTTAGTTTTTTGAGTCAGGATCTCATTGTGCAGTCCAGGCTGTTCATGAACTCACTATGTAGCCCAGGCTGGCCTTACCTCCTGCCTCAGCCTCCCAAGTACTGAGATTACAGTTGTACACTACCACTCCCTACTATAATAATTTTTACTTTAAGAATTCACTTAACTTTCTGACTTCCCCTTTAAGTCTCCTCTCTTTCATATCAAATGCCCATCTATGTGAGCTCTCTACTTAGATGACCCACAGGCATCTTAAACCAACACCAGCAAAACTTATCCAAACTTACCGAATCAACTCTATTTCCTGCTAAAAGGCAGAGCCATCCACTAGTGACCTTTTACTAGTTACCAAGTCCTATGGTTTCCACTGTTCAAAGACCCTAGAAGCACTCTCCTTCATGCCCACTGACACCCTTCACCATGCTCCTGTGCATTCAGCTCCAGGATGAGTTCCATGGTCTTCTCAGAAGACAGTGCCTCATACCAAGAAGAGGCCTAGCAACAATCTCCAGCCTTATTGCCTACTTTTTATTAGAGCGGCATGTGTGCTAAGGCACACATACATACTGTAATATATGATCTTTACAACATCCCCATTTTTTAGGTGGAGAAATTAAGTCAGCATATTTGCCCAAGATCACAATGTTTAGTGAACCTGATTCAAAACCAGGTAGCCTCCAGAGCTCACACACTCGCTAAGCTCTAAGGCTGCCTAATAAAGATGCTGATTTTAAGAGAAGTGTCAATCCCACCAAAGGAGACAACTGAAAAGCACCCATAGGAATCTGCAATCAAAACATTAACAGGGCAGCAAATGAAACCCCCTTCACTAGAGTGAGAGAGACAGAAACCACAAAGGTTAAGGAGTTAGGGCTGGCCAAATAGCTCAGCAAATTAAAGTGCCTGCAAGCAGGCACAAGGGCCAGGAGTTTGATCCCCGGGTCTACAGTGCTGGCCCTCCATGCCCAGGGCAAGCTGAGACAGCAAGTGAGACTGGGCGTGGTGGTGCATGCCTGTAATCACAGCACTTGGGAGGCTGTAAACAGGTGGATCATTACGAGTCTGATCTAGTAGTGAAACCCTGAACATCCTGTAGACCCTTCCCTAAAATACAGAGGAAAAAAAAAAAAAAAAAGAGGCTGAGGAGTGAGACAATAGCACACTTAATAACTGCTGCTTAAAATATGCTACAAACCAGGCACCATGGCAGGTGCTTTACATACATCACATTTTTTAATCTTCTACACTTCTATGTAGATATTATTATCCCTACTTATTCATTCATTTATTTTGGTTTTTTAGACAAAATCTCACTACAGTTCAGGCTGGCTTTAAACTCATTATGTCTCCCAGGCTGGCCTCGAGCTCATGGCAATGCACCTGCCTCAGTCTCCTGATTGCTGGGATTACAGGCCTATTTCATCATGCCTGGCTACTATCCCCATTATAGAGAAGAGGAAACAGAGTTAAAGAGTTTAAGTGATACACAAACAAGGACAGAGCTGGATTCTGACCTAATTCATCTGGCCCCAACACAAGCAGGATTTGAGTCAAATGCCAAGCTGAAAAACAAACTAATTTCACATGCCATGGATATAAAACATGCATTTTAGTCATTAACTTCAGTAAAAAGAACAAGTTGAATTTCTTTTAAGTTTTAAATGTTTTAACTTATTTTTCATCAAGGGAATTCCTATCTCAGCATTCTTCCATCAGACCACAGAGCAAGAGTACTATCTTGTTTCTTCTCATTTGTTAATCTGATACAATTCCTAGGACAGGAAACTTTTACAGTAACTCAAATTTTAATGATGGAAAGAGAAACTACAAAAATAACAAAGTTGAAACTTTGTTGCTAAGCATGCAGTTTAGGTAACACCAGTACCCTCATAAAGAGGACAAAGAACACAACCTGGCATAATTACATGTCTGTAGCCTCTTATTTCCACAATTTATACTTTAGCTGTTGTTTCCACATATAATTAATAAATGTATTGTTTCACTACCAAAGTGATAACAAAACCACAGTACCTTCCAATGGCACACCTCTTAAAAAAAAAAGATCACTGTCCCAAAACTAAAATTAATTCTCTTTGTCTTTTCAGGTTTTTTTTAAACTATATAGCCATCTTAAAAAATTAAAATCATTAAAATTTAATAATTTGGGACTTAACTGATACTTATGAAAATAAGTCACAAGCAATGCCAAGATTAACTCCTAGGCTCAACATGAAATGTTACTATAACATCAAAATTCAGTGTAGATAATGCGAAGCATCTTAAAAAACAGTGCTTGTACCCAAATGTAGCAAGAGCTAACTGCTAAATGACAGTGCTTGGCAGACTATGTCATGGGATCCCCAGAATTACACTTACCTGTGTCATTATACACAGAAATGCTACAGATCTCTTGTCAAATTATTTGATTTCTACCTAGGAAATATAACTTAAGGGCTTCCAATTTTATTAAAATAAATTTACATGAATATACAATTTGCTAAAAAAAAAAAGCTATATCTTTCCATTTCTTTTTTTAATTTTAATTGGCATGTCAGAATTATAAGAAATGTTTAAAATTCTTTTATGTGGTAATGGGACTATGTGGCATGGCAGTACTGACAGACATAACCCCTAGACCTGCCATCCCTGGGTTATGTCACACTGTGTTCTCTGTGAGGACACCCCTCTACAGATGCTGCTCTGCAACAGGATGAAACAGAACCCTGCATAAAGGGAGAAGAGTCAAACAGTAGCATTAAACAGTGAGGATGGTGTGTTCCTGGTATGTTTAAAGAAAGACTAAGATTGAAGTCCGAGAGGTCCCGAGCCTAATCACTGTTCCAAAGCAATGACATGGCACCATGATTGAATGGCTCCAACGGTTCTTCACCAGTACTGAGTAAAATAAACAGTATCTCTGTGAGGTAGACTGATGTCCTTAATAACGCCCAGGAGACAACAGAAGGGCTTCCATTCATCATTTGCCTACAGCCGTAGCTGCTGGGCCACACCAGAGCCCAGCTCCTACAAACAGACATCAAATTTAATTTCCCAAACATTAATACCAGACATGAATGACAAGTAGTATCACTTTCATTGAACTTAAAATAAGCTAAGCACTGCTTTACATCACCGGCTGCTTAACAGAATAAGACAAATTCATCAAATGAAAATTCTTCAGAACCCAGAAATCCATCAGAAGCTATAGTGGGTAACAGATGTCACTTAACCTGTGACCAGCTGCCATTGCCACTACTTCAGATACCCAGTCTAGGCACTCTTCCACCAACTGGCACTGGTGTTTTTGTTTCCCAGCTAAGTGTGACTGGCCCCAATCCTCCTGTCTCTCTACCTTAGAGGCCCCTTCCTTTATGATTCTAACCATAAGGAAATCCTTCTCCAGATCCAAAGCATAAAACCCTAACAGCTGGCATATTCCTGTGGTAATTCAGTCCTGCCACACTTTATAGCCTATGACTCTAAACAAGTTCCTCACAGGCACAAACTATATTCGGACTTAGCTCTCAATCTCTTAATGAATGTCTGTCTGTCTGTCTGTCTGTCTGTCTCTGTCTGTCTGTCTCTCTCTCTCTCTCTCTCTCTCTCTCTCTCTCTCTCTCTCTCTCTCTCTCTCAGCAGCTGCAGCCCCAAAAGGGAAGCAGCACTTGGTGATCTTAGTACCAACACGCCAGATGATTCCAGTCCACACACTCTCTGAGCACCTTTACTACAAAGTCAACACCGCACCTCCTCACTCTTTAGAGTGGAGTCGTGAAGTGAATGTTAGGCGCACAACAGGCCTACTTCTTTCCACAACCCTTAGATGAGGGGCTAGATGAAACGGGGAGGCCAGAAGGGATTCTCCCCTGTTATCACCGACACCGCGTTCAGACAAAATGGCACACAAAAGCTGACGGCGAGAGGTGCGAAAGGAGCGAACCACTTTCTCAACATTCACCACCAGCTTCCCGCCGGCCGTTCTACCCGCTGCCTTTGAGACGCAAGCAGCAACTCTGGAGGAGCCGCAGCCTTCCCGACGCAGGCTCCCCCGCAGCTGGGCACTCCTCGCCCGCTGCGGCTGCGGTCTGCGAGCCGAGCTCCGAACTCCGCCATCGGATCATCTCCGACACAGGCCCCCTCACCAGCTGTCTAACGGCGAAGGCGCCGATAATTCACAACAGCCTCCAGGCCGGGCTCTACCCCTAACGATGCCCGCCGGGGGGACCACACACGCACGCCCCCAGGCTGGCTCCAAGTCACCCCGACGTGGCGCCGAGATACAAGCCCACCGCATCCCTACCTGCGCCAGCCTCGCCACGGAGCCGCCCGCGGGTCCATTTCCGGTCTCTGCGCCTAGGTGAGTCCCTCCCTCCCCCCTTCTTTCGGGAAGGCGTCTAATCTGCTGAAGGGGTTCAATCTGGCAAGCGCGCCCCCAAGTCCAAAACGCTGCAGGCCTCGCTGCCTACGTGGGAAGCTCCGCCGTCAGCCCCGGCCCGGCTCGCCAGAGACAAACGCGGCGGCGGCGGCGGCGCCCGG